TATTTGTTGAATAAATATCCATTGAATGAACATTTCATGAATGTGTTTTCCTACTTAAAGTGTACAAGCCATCCACAAACAGAGTATCTAGGATCTGCTGACATTTTACCGTTTACAGTATCCTGGTCCAGGCCTTCGACCTTTCTCTCCAACGCCATCATGATAATCTCCTGACTACTTTCTTGTTTTCAATGTTGCCTCCTACAGTCTAATCTCAGTACATTGCTTCAAGGTCCTTTTGCATCAACAGTTATATCTGAAGACCCTCATTCAGAGAGAGAAAAAAACAAAACAAAAACTATGGCTTATATTCAGATAGTCTGTTCCTCCCCTCATTATCTCCTGATTTTGTCTTCTTCCACTCTTCCCCCTCTCTCATCACTTGGAAGCCCAGTTTCAAGGCCTCTCCCTCAGGGCCTTTGTACTTTCTGTGTCTTCTGCCAAGAACCCGTTTCCTCTAGTCCTTCAGCTCTCTGCACCACTGCCACCAGGATAGGCCTTCTGTGACCTTGGTGGATGAAATAACACACCTTTACTCGCGGTTACCTGGCTTTATGTCGCCCCATAGCACTTCCTACAATTTGACATGACATTTAATTTTTTATTATTATCTCTTCCCCTTATTAGAATATATGTTTCAAAAAAGAGTGGACTTTATTTTATTCAGTGATAGATCCCTAGTTTAGGAACCCTGGTGGCATAGTGGATTATGCATTGGGTTCCTAATTGAGAGGTTAGCCATTTGAAACCATCAGTAGCTCTGAGGGAGAAAAATGAGGCTTTCTACTCTCATAAAGAGTTACGATCTTAGAAACCCACAGGTACAGTTCTTCTCTGTTCTATAAGGTGAGTATATCCCCAGCTTTAGAGAATGTCAGACAGAGAACATGTGTAATAAATAAGACAAAAAGTGTTTGGTAAATGCATACACCAAAACAAGAGCATTGCTACCTCTCTTTTCTCATGAGACTTTGAGAGAGCCATTGAAATTGCCAATGCAAGACATAAAAAAAAATGAAGACTTCTTTATAGTTAGGTATATGTAATGCAAAAACACCCAATATAAACAGTAGCAAGTGAATTGCTATGAACTGTGCTTCTCCCAAGGCATTTTTTTTTAATGGGCACATTTTTAAATAATCATTTTATTGGGGCTCTTACAACTCTTGTTACAATTCCTACATCAATTGTATCCAACATATTCTTACATATATTCTATTGTTCTTTTCTAGACATTTACTTTCCATTGAGCCCTTTTTTTCCCTCTCCACCCCCAACCCTTGTGGTCTCTTGATAGATGGTAGATTGTTAATTATTTTCAAATCTCACACCGACCGCTGTCTCCCCCTCTGGTTTCTGTTGTTCTTCCCCATGGCTGGGGGTGTGTGGTTATGTGCCCTTCATTGCGATCGATCGGTGACCCCCTCCCTCCCCACCTCTCCACCCTTCCCCCTGCTGTTTTGGTATCTCTGTTCCCCTTCCTCTTCCTGGGTTCCATGTGTTGTGAGTGTTATCTCTTGCTCACACCTATGGACATGCTCCCGTCTAGTCTAGATTGGGAAGCGGCACTGGGGTCATGATAGCAGCAGGGTGAGAAGGCCTCCAGGGAACAGAGGTATAGTGCGTGACCCATTAGTGCTCTCCTGCACCCTGATTGACTCACAACCTCCCTGCGACCCCTCAGTTGGTGGATGTTCCATTGTCCATTGATGGCTTTGGGTCTCTGCTCCAACCCCCCTGCATTCTCAAAAATGCATTTTTGTTTGTTTGCTGTTTGCTGTGAGTCTCCTGATGCCCATTGCCCGGTCTCGATGACACCTCATGATCACACCATCTGGTGTGCTTCTTCCATGTGGGCGCGTTGTTACCGTTCCCACACATCAGTGCTTCTGTAAAAGCTCCTGTAGAGGTGTTGAAGAATTAGTGTTCTCACTTGCGGGAAGTCAATTGTAGGATGACTGCAGGCTCGCGTTACTGGTTCTATTTCCCACATATTCCTGAACTATCAGTGCAAGTGGCAGATGCAACGTTTGTTGTTAGGTGCATTCCAGCTCCAAATGACTGAATAGTCAGCAGAAGGAAGCATCGCTCTCTTCTGCACCCTCTTCACAAGTGTCACTGTTCAAGCCTGTTGTTACAGCCACTGTTTCAATGCAGTGTTTCCTGAGGGCCCTCCTCTTTTTCACGGGCTCTCCGCAGGCACTGGGTTCACCTGACAACATGTCCAAAGTATGTGAAACGAATCCTCACCTTCTTTTCCAAGGACATTCTGGCTGTACTTCTAACACAGATGATTCACATATAATTAATAAGTATGGAAAGAGATCAGAAGACGTGCCAGGCTAGTGAGTGAATCAATGAACCTCCCTCCCATTATAGGAAACACATTCTTTTTGGGAGGAGAAAGATATAATATATTTTTTATTTCAACACTTTTGCATTTTGAGAACATACTCAATGAATCATGCAGTCTGGCCATAAACAATTTGATGTCATCTTGTTAAACTTGAAATTCTCCAAACATTTCTCTCTCTTCCTATTACTTGCATTTTTTCTTCTGGAAATTTTATTTACTAAAATTTATATAATAAATTTCAAAATTTAGAAGTAATTGATGAGTGCTTCTTTTTCAAAGCTGCTATTGTCTTCAATATATAGACATTTTGAGAATGTGTTTATTTGATCTAATATTGTTTTCCCTTGCCAGCCTTAGTGTTTAAGGTCTGACTTCAGACCCAGAAAGCTTATTATCAAAGTTGGTGAAATGTTGTTGCTTGTATCTTCCAATGCTGGGAATTCTGACCACAATATGAAACAGAATGCACACACCCATAAAAACAGCCAGATTTATTTTGAGAGGTCGCTGTTATGTGCCATAGACTCAGCTCCAACTAATACCAACTCTGTGTACAACAGAATACAGCACTGCCTGGTCGGTCCTGCACCACCCTCGCAATGATCGTGCGTGACTCAATTGTTGCAGCTACTATGGCAACCCATCTCCTTGAGAGTCTCCTCTTTTTCAGTGACCCTCTGCCAAGCATGACGTCCTGAAGGGACTGGTCTCTCCTGATAATATGTCTAAAGTAAATGAGACAAAATTGTGCTATTCTCTATTCTAAGAAACATTCTGGTTAAATCACCTTTGATGACTTTCGATCTTCTTAGTTTCTTATTTTGTGCATTCCATATATTTTTGTTTATTTTTCCCAACAGGTTTATTGGCATGTAATTAGCATCCAATTCAATATTTCGGTCACATCAAGAAGAGTTGTACAATCACCACCACAATTAGTTTTAGAACATTTTCTTAATTCTTGTACTCTTCATGATTAGTTCCCCTTTTCTCCCAACCTCCCCTGAGATATTGAACTCATTTTATTCAATGAAAAATGCCTATAGTTTTCAGGAAAAATGCACATGGTTTTCTTTTAGATGAGATAAACACTCTGGAGGAGAAAACAATGGCACCAATGATTCCAGAGGGACATGGGAGAGGGGGAGGTGGGGGAAAGGAAGTGGTGTTAACAAACCCAGGGACAA